TTGTTGTTGTTGTTGTTGTTGTAACTTATTTGATATTTTATTATTATTATTTGTTTGATTTATACGTATAATTGTATTTAATAACTTATTCCTTTCATATTGTTGATGTTCTGTTAATGTACGAAAATGAATTGGTGGTTGTAAATCAGGTGATTTTATACTAAATGCATCAACAAGTAATGTGTCTGATGTTAATGGTAGTGAATCAATTGAAAAATAAAGAAATAATAAATTTAAATAATCAATTTCATATTGTCGTGGTGCACGTGCACCACGTTTAGCTTGTGATACAATATGTGGTAATGAATGAAATGCATAAACAAGTGGTACATAAAAACGATTATTTTGTAATATATATGGTACAAGTTTATTTTCATGCATAAGTAAGGTTCCACCTTTATGTGTTAAAACTTCAGCATGATATTTATTCACTTGTGTACGTGGTTGTTTTGTTGTTAATAATTTAACATATAAAATTCTTTGTAAACCAATCATAACATGATATAAATTAACTAATAAAGTTTTTTCTGGTACTTTTTCATCAAATATATTTATATTTGATATAAGATTATTAAATATATCAAAATCTTGTTGTGTTGCTTTAATTAAAAATTTTTTAAATGCAAATTCATTATCAGAAAATATATGGCATTTAATTAAAATTTCATATGGAACATAAAATTCACGTTGTAATTGCGGTGGTGGTTGACGTGTTGAACATTTTTCTATTTTAAAAGCAGGAAATTAAGGAAACAATTATAAGACCATCGAGTATATGAAATACTCGATAAAAAAAAACAATCTTTTTTCTTTTTTTTTATGCACTCAGTAAATTGATGTTTGAAACTGCAACCCTAGTATTTATTCTAGCGTGCAACATTCTTTCTTTCAAATGTTAGTTAATAACAACTTTTTACTACTATCATATCTTTATGAGAAAAAAACATTCTGTAAAACTTGTGCTTGTTTTCAATGAATCGTTGAAACTTTTTTTTTCCTGAGAAAAATGTACTTGGAGTGCCTCACACAGTTGTACGATATCAAAATTTTGCCCCCTGAGGCCTCAAAAGGTCAATGTTCTGCACGAAAAAAATTTCTCTAAGATGTATTTCTGTTGAAAAATCATCAAAAAATTTTATGTAAGAACGATATGTGAATTCTGTTTCGAACCTGAACATACCATTTATTTTTGAATATTTTTTTTTACGATTTTGTAGAGAATAAAACGTTGCATATAAAATTCAGTTTGAAATTCTTTGATTCTGAATTCTGATAGGAGATAAATTGTTATCAAATGGACATTTTAGACTCATCGAAAAAAAAAAACTTTTTTCATTTATATTGGCCTTATGAAACTTGAGTCGATCAATATGATATTTTAATTCTCTATCGGTTTTTTTTTCTTATAAAGGTATGATAGTGATAAAAAATCGTTGTTGACTGACATTGGAAAGAAGGGAACACTAAAATTTTGGGATTAGCAGTTTCAGACATTGATTCATTGCGTGCATAGAAAAAAAAAATTCTTTTTTTTTATCGAGGGATTCATATATTCGTTGGTCTCATAATTCCTCTCTTAAATAATAGAAAAATTGTTTTATTTTCTGTTTTCTATATTTACCAAGTTCACTTTCACGTAATTTTAATTTAACAATATAAGGAACAAATACATTATTTATTTGTACCCAACCAGATTCTTTTGTTTCTCGTGATAAATTATGATTATCGATTGATTGATGCGGAAGTTTTTGTGATAATAATTGTTTATCACGTATGATTTGTTCCTGTCGTAAAGTATTATTCA